AAGTGAGCGGTGGTGCACGCGATATACGTGCTATCACGGGAAACGCCATAACTTTCTCGAAAGTCGACCAAATTCTAAAATTTTTTTTTTGTTCTTTTTCCAAAATTGCCTATCTACTATAAGTAAGCCTCTGACTGATTACAAATCACTGCACCGCACAATGAACGGTCATCATTAAACACAGTCAACGAGAAATTTTGGGAAAAATGCGATCGCTGCTCAAGGAGTGACGGAAGGAAGCGCGTACCTCAATCGGAAAGAGCGTGAACATCCGAACCAAAAGAGTATAAACATAAACATGCATTGTTAAAGTTAAGACATGCCTGTGGTAGAAAAAAACCAAAATAGGCTACTGGCGAGATATTGAACCAGTGAAAGTCATGAAAACCAATAAAACCAAAATTTTATTTCATAATATGAAATGAATAAAAACATTTTCTTTCTAACAAAGCAGTTTCTAGCAAACTAAGAGGTCGTTTCAAATTATTGTTGGACTGGTTCATTAGTATGGATATATTCTGGTGTTCTTTTGTCGATGAATGCAGATATACCTTCTTGAGCATCTTGAAGCTTCAGATTGGCCACCATTACTTTACCTCCATATCTATGAAGATGGGTTGTAAAGAAACTGGAATAGTTTATACCTATATGCTTCAGCAGTGTTGAGTTGCGACTGCATGTAGAAGAATGACTTTCCTAAATTCGTAACGGAACGACTGTATTCCCCAATCTGTTCTGCAACTTTGAGTGCTTCCAACCGGACTTCCTCATCTGGAACAACTCTCGATACCAAGCCAAAAGCTTGAGCTTCTACAAAAAAATGCTTGAAACATATAACAGACACGGAAGAAACACACCGTCTGATGTGAGACTACGACCAGTCATCAGCATATCCAAAGCTACCTTGCTGGGTACAGCGCGACTCAAGGCGACTCCAGGTGTTGAGCAGAAAATCCCGACTTTCTGCCTGAAACTTTATTTTGAAAAAGTAACAACGAAGAGAACTGTTACCCTGGGACGAGAAACTTAGAGGACTTAGCGGCAACAACTATGTCACAGCTTGCTACGAGTTGACAACCGGCCGCAGCAGCAACACCACTGACCTGAGCAACTAGGTAGAGCAAGTAAAACTAATATAATCACCTCGGCTATCACAGGAACTTGCATACTTTGAATAAATTGGATAAGTTGGGAGCATTTGTCGAACACTTGACTGTGCATATCCACACCTTTATCGGTCTTCTGTAAACATAAAGAATGCAACCGTTCTTTAGTTCTAAAGAACATACTAACTCATTCAAGTCATGACCTGACGAGAAAACTTTTCCTTCTGAAGCTATAATGATAGAGCGCAACTGAAGAGGAACACAGATAATGGTATGATGTAAAAACAGCATTGTCACCTTCTTAATCTTATTAATGCCTTGAAGCTCTGCATGTAGTTCTTCTATCATTTGTAATGAAAGAGCATTTCTTCGTTTCTCATCATTGAGTATAAATCTGACTACACTGTTACCCTATTTGTGCAATGGCTTATGAGATATATGAAGTCGCTGAAGCTAACCTGATAAACTTCTTTCTTGAGTAGACTAGTAGAAGCTGAACAAAATTTACGAACAAAGAACATTGTGTATAACTATAGTAGAGCGATGAGAATGTCTACAGTGGTGGTGTATCAGTAAAGGCAAAGAATGAAACTTAAAAACAAAAAGAACAATTGAATCAAGTTTTATCGTAATAGAGCAACGTTTAGTAACGATACATGCTGACTTTAACAATCTACTCGTAATATAATAAGAGTAAAACTATCATTTGAATATTTAACAACCAAGTGACACCGTTTCACAGTTTCAAAAAAGATATTATTTCTAATTATTATATTAGTTATGATTATGGGAATTGTTTGTTAGTGTACGCAGTATGTGTATACACACACATGACTGACCGTCATATTAGTAGTACACATAGATTTAAATTAATATATATGTATATATATATATATAGTTTTTAATATTACATTATTTTAGGATTTTCGTTTTTTAACAATTTCCTGGAGGCTCGAACACTGCGCTATGAAGTGATTCAAGCTTTTTGATTTCGATTTCTTGTTCGAAACGTTTCAGCTTATTCGAAAAGCTCAGCGTTTCTGGTTGCGTTGTAGATGCGACTCCGTTAGCAGATGTGTTTTGGGTCTGAAAAATGCATGATGATGTTTATGATGGGTCTCTTGCGGGATGCACGGAGAACAAGCTATCCCCGGAATGAAAGAAAAGCCTACCTGAGATATCCTTAAGGTCGGCTTTGGAGGGACTGGTGGAGGTACTTTTTTCAATTGCTATAACACAAGGAAGCATTAAGCTAGCACACTTGTACAACGAACCGGTATCACAGAAGCCTTCGATAGTACTGAGTTATCAGAATCTGTCGGGGACTTGACGTCTTCAACTTCTTCTATTCCGTTAGTATCGGGATTAATTGGTGAAATTGGGACAGTAGGAGAGGACGTTCCATTCTCATCAACACCGGATGAGTAAATTGAAGGTGTCTGGAAAAGCACATTCAATAAGCAACAACACACACATTAATTCAGAGATTTCAGGGAACTTCTAAGAGAAGGAAGTACATCAGACCTCCTCATGCTATTCTGGGGAGTTGAAGTAATCACTGTTATGGAATTGCACATGCAAAGGAAAAGCGAAAGAAGAAGAGATTGGGGGCAAATGTGAGATACAATATTGATGTAGAACATGCAGTTAAGGATATTAGTTTAAACTCAAACAGGGAACGGGAGAAACAGAAGTCCATATCATTCAGCTCAACATCACAGACAACTTAGCTACCAACTGCGAAAGACATTACAAACGACAAAACGATTAAGCAGAAGGTGCATCTAGTGCTGATTAGTAGTGCTAGTATGTTTTACAACAGAATTACTGATCATACTTCCCGAACGACTTGTTTAAGTGAAGAATTCATTATTTCATAAACACATCTCTATCAAAAGATTAAGCATACTGAAAGGTCACTGGAAATATAAAAGACATATCACATATTCGAGATGGTAATCAACGATAACAAACTATAAATATATCAATTCAAAACAACCGTTAATATAAGGCTCATGTTTGAGTGTTGATACACACAATAAAACTGGGAATGATCGCAAAATAATTAATTTCGTTAGAAGAGAAGAGGAACACGGTACACCTGAGACAGTAAAGCAACAGATCGCCGTTTATATTTAGATAGATATATGTATATATATAAATAGATTTAGTTAATTCTGGCTGTAGCACCATTATTAGATAATGTAGCCTAAGAAAGACAATCGAGCGTATGTCTGGACTAGATTTCGAAGATCTTTTTGTTTGTAATTCATTAGGAAATGAAAGTCTGATGTCTCATCCCATTACTCACCGATACTGATTTCGGCTCCTGTTTATTATATCCATTGCAAATCAACAGCCTCAACTCTTGCTGGCCCTTTAGAATGTCAGCTGCATCTTGTTGCGTACATCCTAACAAGGGTTCTCCATTCACTTCGATGATACGATGGCCAGCAGTAAGACCAGCTTTTTCAGCTATGGAACTTGGATCAACCTAATAATTATTGATTAATTATCATTAACAAACTGTGTCCAAACTCTTTCCATGAAGATCCCCTCATCAGATGTGTCATTGGGATTGGCAGCTGGCCCTCTTACTCCACCGTGAATATATAACCCTAGGGGGTTGTTGCCGTTTCGGACTAACAACACCTCTTTCAAGCCACTTGGTTGAGGATCATGCGTGACACGGATACGTACAATGGGTCCGGCAGTTTGAAGAGCCTATATGAACACAATAGAACCCAGAGTAACAAACCAACTACTTACCTCCACAGCAATTTTATGCTCAGCTTTACTGACATCATGGTTGTTGACAGCTAATATGCGATCACCTATGCGTAGCCTTTGACATCTGAACAACAAAGCTTAAGAAGGTATGCAAGTATAAGCAAACCTGTCCGCTGGAGAATTGGCAGCGATTTTACTAATGAACACTCCTGGATCATTAACGCCGAATGGATGGCTCGCATGATCAGAACCACCCACAATCGATAATCCTAATGATTTTCCGTCCCGACGAAGTTCAACTTCTTCCGTCCTACCATCCCAAGAGGAAGTATCACCAAGCTGTGTTACCGGCACTGATGTAGTCGGTGACTTAGCCATGGCTGGTAACGGCTGAAACCGAACAAATGATTAATACAACACAAGAACAAAAATTACCATGGGAGAGAATGATTGATTCATAGAAGTGTTAGCGGAGTTATGACCCGAAGTACTCCGTAAAGGTGTGGATTGCATTGTTGGAGAATTAACACTTCGATCTCTTTGAACAACCAAGTAAACATCTTCTCCGGGAGAACCAGTTAGCAGAGCTACTGCTTGATCATGCCGGACACCATTCATCTTCGTTCCATTGATGGTTAACACTCTATCTCCAACCTATCAAAAGATAATTATAAGCAAAACGATTTTTTCAATATGACTAACCAAAATCTTTCCGTGTTTATCGGCAACACCGTTCTTCGATATGGCACTTATGAAAATACCATCTCTTCCAGATCCAACCCCACCAGCGACAGAGAATCCAACAGATCCTGACCCGTCTCTACGAAGCGTAGCGCTTATCGTTTCCTTATTGAGAGAGGAAACGTCAGCGATTTCTGACATAAATGAAATGTCTAAGGTATGCTCCGGAGTCTGAAACAAGTTGTTAACACACTAGTTAGGTCAAACGTTTATTACTTTAGGGGCGGGTGTGAATGTTGTCACGGCATCTTCATTTCTCAAAACGGTTAGCTCAACAACCACTTTAGCTATTTGCATCGCTTTGACAGCGATGTCATGGGTGACATTCGTAACATCCGTGGAGTTAACACGAAGTAACTTGTCTCCAACTTTCAATCCAGCAATATCTGCTGAACAGCCAGGGACTACTTTCGAAACGAAAAGACCATGATCTTCATCTTTGTAAGGTGTGCTTCCTAATCCTCCGGCAATAGAAAGGCCTAGCAAAAGCAGGTATAACGTTTGTTTATCAGTAACGAAATACCTAGTCCTCCTTTCTCATCACGCCGGATGAATATTCTTTTCACTGTGGGCTCGGGAGCGTTCGATGCTCTTGATACTCGATCCTGGAAGAACACGGGTTAGATAATGGTAGTTATAGTGGTTAGGTAACAAAATCAAAAACTGAAGTTAAAGTGATAAAAGGGTTGCTTGTAAATTAAAAAGCAGTTTCAACTCAAAATCAGTCTGGTAATGAAGCCGGGCACGATTAGCGTACAACAAAAAGAGGAAGTTGTTAATTCAAATCGCTTTATACCAACTTTCTCTCCCCCGCTTAATGCTCCACGAACACCTTTATAGTGTGGAGTGTTAATCCGTTTTAGACGACAGTTTGCAGAACTATCAAACACGTCATTAGTGAATGCAACGTTTTTTTCCTAAACCCCAGTAATTGGATTGGATTTGTCAATGAACATTTGTGCAAAATATAATAATAAAGCATACCATTTCCCGACTTGGAGGAGTGGGTACTGGAGCAGATGTTGACGCAGTGGCTAAGGCTGACAAACTTGTTTGTGATTGTCTCAGGGATTCTGGTTCATACTGCCCTGGTGAAACACTTTGAAACTTCAAAGCGGATCTAGGTGTAGGTATGGGACCTTGTGGAGATGATTCTGGAGTTCCCTTTTTGTGAAGAGACAAGGTTGCTCCTTGGATCTGAAGCAAATCATGTACAACAATAAGTAAATCATTGAACATACATGTTGATCAGCGTGAGGAATTACGTGGCCATCGATACTGTTCTTCTTTAATTTATCCTTGTGGGATTTTGGCTTGGGTGTGTCATGTCTTTCGAACTGGCCAGTTGGTAACTACAAATTTCCACTTGATTAAAACCAAGATGTGAATGATTTTACCTTCTCTTCATCTACAGTAGAGTCTTGATCAGGGAAATGAACCTTTGGTCCTCCTACGCATGCTCCGTTTCCTCCCAAAGGTTTTCTATCATTTTCAGATTCTATAAATGTAAACAAAAGTTTTGTATCGTTATCATATTACTCACCTAAACAAACTCCTTGTTGTGGTAACAAATAGCAAGTTAAAACTTTGTTTCCGGTCCTAGAATCCCTGACAACTTGTAGCTTCATCAATGCTTGAACTTGGTTCTCAGATAACCAAATCGCTCTCAAGCGGAACAAAACATTCACAGTGAAGGGGAGATGATTCAAGCGATTATTGCATAAATCGAGAATAGCTAGTTCAGAGCATTTTCCTATCTCAATAGGCACTTCGCTCAGTTTGTTTTCTCTAGCAGATAGGATTGTTAGAGATGCACAATTTCCAATCTATAGAGACATAAAAGATAAGTTCGCGAATAAATGCTTACTTCAGCTGGTAAATGAGTCAAATCGTTCTTGTCTAGGTTCAATAAACTCAAACGTTGCAGTTTTCCAATCGTATGAGGAAGCTCCTGTGGAGAACAAATAAGAATAACAACTTTGAGTAAGGACTAACCGTCAACAAATTTTCTGATAAAAATAGTTCAGTGAGGTTTTCGCAATTGCCAATTGATTCGCAAAGGCTTGTAATGTTGTTTTTATCTAGTTTTAGTATTGTTAAGTTCCTCAGCCGTCCGATTGATCCAGGCAGTACTTGTAAAATGTTTTCTGACAAGTTCAGATCGGTTAGTTTATCTAGTGCCCCAAAGTCCTCGGGTAGGCAACCTATTTTATTATCACTAGCATCTGAAAAAAAAGAGAATGATGACGAAAAACATTTTCAATATATACCGAGTTGTTCTAAATTTCTGCAACGAGTTATTTGGTCAGGAAACGTTTCGACGTCATTCATATCAATGTACAGTTCCCTCAAGGATTCCATATTACCGATATTAACGGGCTACAAAAATACATGATTACTAAGAAGAGAGAAAACAGCTTACCAAAGATTCAAATTCATTTTCACCTAAATCTAACATTTGCAACTTGGAAAGATCAGTTATAGATGGTGGAATGGCTTTAATATGGTTTTCTCGAGCCTAAGAATGTAAACGTTAGTGATACACTTGTGAAAGATATTATTACCTCAAGAGATCGAAGGTTGACAAGGTTACCGATGTCGACAGGAAGCTGAGTAAGAGATACATCGTTCAGGCCGAGGTAGGTTAAAGAAGTGCATTGAGAAATAGCCTCAGGCAACCTGCAACATTCCACAATTGAAAATACACGGGACACTCAAAGATGATACCGTGTAATGGGATTGGAGCTCAAGTCGAAAACCATCAAAGATCTGCATTGTGCCAACTGCTCAGGAATATCGGAGATTGCTATAAAATCAAAATTACTTTGATGATCACTACAAAGCTCAGACACAACCGCGCGTCATACATTCAAAAGTAAAAATGACGCGCGCAGGACGCTGCTCACGTCAACTTGTAGTCCACGTGAGCTCGCAAGAATATGCTAATTAGCCTATATGATCATACTACTGACACTACAATGATAAGTGAAAATAGAACATACCGTTATTACGCAGACGGAGCTCCACTAAATTTTGCAAATGGGAGATATCTGAGGGGATAGCTTTGATATCATTGTCGCTCAAATCAAGAAACCGAAGTTTCGTTAAACGAAATAAATTCTGAAACGGAAAACATAGGAATGTTGAGGAGAAGTAAAGGTACCTTCGGGATTTCTTCGATTTGATTTGTAGACAACAGGAGTTCCTCCAAGGCTCTATACCTTTCTATATCATGCGGAACCTAAAACTGATGATTAAAAGATGGAACTGTGTCGAAGTCATACCGCAGTTAGATTCTGCTGTCGGCGATCCAAAGAATCAATTTGCCTATTGCAAGTTATTGGCATGCAAAACGGCATGGTTATCTCCTAATAAACCTTCGCCTAAAGCGAAGTACCGCTATTTCTGGAATGAGAAGAAGTTGAAAACAGTTAGAGAGAACCTACAAAAAGTTTGGAGAACTACGAACACGTGCAGAAAAAAGGAGAATAACAACGAAATTCAACGAAAATACTGTGAGCATAAAAACAAAATTTGGAGAAAGGATAAAACCTGGAAGAATCTATAAACTTGTCAGTATGACGAGTCATCATAAACAAGAGAACTGAATGATGCTCAATCGATCATTGATGAATCAATATAGGAGGTTTGATAAGCTCAGCGAAAAGCGGGCAAATACCAAAACAGATCACAAAAGACAGACTAGAATTTGGTAAACAGTAGGATGGTTGAAAAATATTTGTAAGTTTTCAGAAGGCAACACAGAAAATACCGAGAACTCCTGAAAATCCAGAAATATCACGAAATATACAAAATTTGTATATTCAGAGAGAGAGGGGGAGAGGGAGAAGGGGAGGAGAAGAGAGAGAGAGGGAGAGAAGGAACAAAATGAGAAGTGGAAGTGAAGAGAATTATGAATCAATAACATAGGGATCACGCAAATGTTTACAAGAGGGAAATCTGTGGAGATGATGATGAAGACGGAATGTTGAAACAAACGAAGCCTGACACAGAACACGTTAGTTCATTAATGGAGTTCCCATCTCAATTTATTCTGTATTGGACGGAAGACAAATAGAGAACACATTGGATTAGGACTGGCATACATGAAGGTATTTTCAGAGAAGATAACACACGGGGTAGTTAAGCCTTAAACAGAGAGTTGGAAAGAGCAGCGAGTGTAGGAAATTCATAAATAATTCAGAAAGATGATAGAACTAGTGATGTAAACATGCAGAAATTAGAAATCAGGATATTGAGTCGAAAAAATTGAGAAGGGAAGTTAGACCATTGGCAAGGTCATTACTATCATTTAAGACAATCTTATCATCAGAGAAAGCATGTTATGGGAGCGATCGATTTGCGCATGTTAAGCAACCTGGATAACGACGACAATCTATTTTCACATTAAGCCGTATATCTCTCATTTCAACATTTCTCTCTCTCTCTCTTTCTCTCTCTCTCTCTCTAATTCTTCTTTCATTTATCTGAAATTCTCGGAAAGTGTTTTATGAACAAAACTGTCCTCTCTCCATCTTCACACGAAACTTTTTTTTTCATGGTCAGCCATGTTCGAACTGTGACGAGCAGTTCGAAGATGCGCATGTCCTGACTCATTGAATAAGCAATTCTGGGCCGATTATCGGCACTTTGATCGGCAAAAGCAAAACCATCACTGTTGAAAAACACCAGCTTCGGTGAGTGTATGAGAAAAGAGAGAAACGCTATAAGAGTGGCGGAAGGATTTGATATGATGAAGCGGAATATGAGCTATTTTCCCATTCTCATAGCGACACAAAGAACGATGAAGCCAAGAAGAAGATAATCTATCGCCAAAACAGATGAGATGTATGTGATATAAAAAAGAACAATCAATGTTTTCGCAAGTTGTTAAAGGCACGAGCAATATGTATGTGTGAGTGTATGAGGAGTGTGAAATGGATAAGGAAGAGCCGCAACGAATCAGAATAAGACTTCAGCACAAAAAAAGAAGAAGAAGGAATTCAGCTAGAACGACATAGCAACGATATATATAATATGTAAGGGAAAAACGAAAGATAAAGAGAAAGGAAAGGAGGTAGGGAGGTAGTGAGAGAAAGAGGGAGAGGGGAAGGTATACAGACATGCATATTCATATGAATTGAGAGAGAGAAAAAAAGACGGAAAACGAAAACCAACAATGAGAAAGCACAGAAATAGTACATTGGGTGGAAAACCAAAGCACTTGAAAACAGAAAAAGTGAATGATTTGAGAAATCTATTTAACCATCATTAATCGATATCATATAAATAAATACAGAAAAGGCAACAATTAGTTACATCGCAAGAAAGGAGGAGAAGTACTCTTCGGAAACATAATATGTTCTAAGGAAAATGACCCGAGGTATGACCTGAGCCAACACAATATCTATCAAACATTCCAAAGGGGAAAAAAACGAATAAACAATGTGTGTGTGTAGGAAGATCACAGCTACATATCCGAAAGAGGTAGCGAAGTTCTGTTAAAGACTTTACTCCAAATATCAAAATGCTAAGACAAACAACGAAAACCTTTTAGGGAGAGCACAGCTTAGTATAGTACGTGGCAGAGAGATCGATCAATAACGAGTGATGCAAGGTCGTGAGGTGGGCTGGTGAAAGAGGCGTTGGGTTTGGGAGGGAGGTCGCAGGTTGAGTGTGGTGACGACCGCAGACTGACCAGGTCCGTTTCTCTGTTCCTCTTACACCACACATCGCATATTCATCGTTCTAACACAGTTTAACCATTCAACATCTTCTCCCATCACTCTCACCTCAGTAGCACTACATACAAGGTCAGTTTGAAGCAGACCTATTTCAGGCTACCACAACGCCGAAAGAACTGCGTTTTTACCTCCATCAACTCCATAGCCTGTCACTCACTCTTTGTCCATCTTCGAATGAATCTCTTAACCGCCATCATTTTGCGATGTTAAACATGATTATGTAGATCGTCGTTGTTTTAAATACATTAATAAAGAATAACAGAGAGCCGTCCGACTAATGAAAGCATAGAGTTTGAGAGTTTCGGATTCATTAATCAAGTAGTGACATCTGAAAAAAACCTCTCTTACTACACAACATTAAACTGAGAAAAGAGAAGATGTGAACACGAGGTTGAGAAACTGTTTGAATTACCAAAGTTATGCTCTGTCTATTTACTCATAATATATATACTAGAGAAACAAAGGAAACAATGCTCTTCAACAGATTTTGATTCGGCAACTACGAAATGAAATGAAACACTTGACAATTCAATCTCTAGAGTCGAGACCCCCAAGAGATCAGGCAGGATTGTAACCGGGGAACCAAGGAATGGACGTGAAGCAGAAGAGTGCAGTTTCCACCCGTAAATAAAGGCTCCTTCGATGGATGGATAGATTTTAAGCCAGTTTCGACTCAAACCCCTAGGGAAAGGCTTTTAGTAGGGCATAGATCGGACCAATGAGAATTTCTTCGATAATTTCGCGTTTCATTTTCAAGAAAAAAAATTGATAAAATTAAGTCGTTACAGTTGTAAATACTTCGTATCTTGAAGACTTAACCGAATGATGTGAAGTGTGTCTTCTATTAGACGTGCATCGACGAGCAGAATTTATTCAATAGAGCAAACGTCGAGTGAAGACGTTGAACCATAATAGAATCCACTGCAAACGAATCAGGCCACTTACAACTGAGAGAAACAAGTCGTTACCCATCGAGAAGGCTGTCGTCTGGCAAAGCAAGAGCTCCAACTCTTTTAGAAATGTTATCTCAAAACTCAAGACTCATGAGTACCCATGACAAGGCATAAAAACTCGCATAAGAATCAGACATTCGCAAATCAGGGACATATAAACTGATGGAACCGGACGGGAGCTTTTCACAGCTATCTCTATCTAACTCTCCGATGTTGGTTCTTCCTCAGCTGACCCTGACACCAACAGCAGTTACTTGGCCATCCGGCTGCACGATGGACTACCAGTCCAGCCATTGAGGCACAAGCACTGAACAAAGATTAATGTTCAGATGAAAAGCCAAAGGAATATTAACTGAGATTGAGAAATTCACAGAAAAAACGAACGAGAGCATAACATAAGTAGAAAGCAAAATATGCGAAGCACAAACGTGAGAGAGAGAGAGAGAGAGAGATGAAAGAGAAAATAACAAAACGTAGAAATGATAATGGGTTATGACATGCTTGAACGATGCGAAATAAGGAAAATATGAGCTAACATGAGAAACTTAATACGTTCAGGACATGTAGGAGTGCAAACAAGTATGTAATCTACTGAATCATCAACATTGACGAAAAATATAAAAAGCACATATTCTCTACTCTTAGTCACCACACATTAACTAGATATGAAGAAAATAGTACGCTGCTTCTCCAAAACTTCTCCTTTTCTCTGCTGCTAAACTTAATGCTGAAGAAGGAGACCTTTAGTATGCAACGCAACTCGAACCTCTTCGCCTCATAGCATTTATTCTCTGATGAACGGAAAGAAGGAGAGGAAGAAGGAGAAGAAGAAGGAGGAGAAGAAGGAGAAGGAGAAGAAGAAGAAGAAGCGGGCGCTACACACAAAAGGAAAAGAACAAATACCCGCACTTGCACCGAGAAGAAGGTATTCAATCAATATATACAAGAATATATTTGGTTGATATCAGGGCAGCAGGAAAAAATAAAGTCGAATTCGACTTCACACTGATTGCAGTACGCCCCATTTTGCAATTAGAGGATCATGACATTCAAAAAGAGAATCCGGCACACTGGCTTTGAGATTCAGATCTTTCGATGTGTGAAATCCGTTGTGACAGATACTATGATCATTGCATGGAACTATACAATTTAAATATGGGCCAAAATAGGAAGGGAACAGAAACAATCATATATCACCTCTCCCCTTTCCCTTTTCATCGTTTTAATTCAAACAGCTCTCATTCTGTCTTCGTACAAAAGGAACAATAGATGAGACACTTACCTTCATCTTGCTGTTTGTCTCAGCTCCGCCAGAAGATCTGATCCCCGTAATTTTGCTTGAGAAGCATAAACAAATTTCGTAAACTCTCCTAGCTCTGTGGCTTTGAGAGGATGATTCAGAATGGCCACAATGAAGAGTTGACCTTCGAGATGGTCACCATACACGTACTGAAATAAACATAAACGATGACAACAAAAACATTCAAAAACGTACTTTCGATTGAGTTTCACTACGCCATGTGTCGAGTTCTTTACGTTCATTAGGTTTTTCCCCATCTTCACCGCCACGGAACTCTGGTACTTTTCGAGACTCAAGATGTTTCTTTATAAACTTTTCAATGCAGCCATGTTCTTCTTCGGCGGATGGGTTCTAAAGATCGAAACGGAAATGAAATGAAAGTGTGAACCTACTCGTTGATGACCAGGAGTTGGGTTGGGGCATTGAAATATGAAGGGGTACTTGCTACAAACACCTTTCAATGGCTCTATGGGGTAACCGTCCGTCGCGAACTTATTGTCTTTTCTCAAGTAACCAAAACCTGAATGAAAAAGAGTTCAGTGAGAACATGAACACCAATGCTCACCATAGAAATCAGAGCCATCGAAACTCCGGTCCATTATAATTCCAACTCTACAAGCCTTAATTTGAGCCTGAATATTTCGAAAAGAGTCAATGAAATTGAATTTATTATCGATGGAGTGGATACTCTGAAATATGTTATTAGAAATGAGAAATCGTAGGTCAGACACACCTCCCGATCTTCATCGCCACAATAGGCCTCCAGTACATTGGTGAAGTATAAAGAGAATTTGGCCATTAGTAAATCATAGAACTTTATAAGCCATTGAATCAAACGATTCCTTGGCACAGGCTCACCACTAAAACATAAACAATGAATGTGAAGTGTAAATTGGCAGCTCACCCCAAGATTTTGGCGAAGAAAGAAAGATTGGCGGGATTCAATGAGCCCAGTTCTTTAATCCAGAAATCAAAGTTTTCCCGTACTTGCTTCAATTCGAGTAGGCTTTCAAACATCTGAAAACACAATATCTACTGAAGAAAATAAGAGGAAAAACATACTCGACAATTTGAAATATGAATTTGAGCGGTGAAAAGCAATCGCAGGATCTCAACCTCTTCCTAGAAAAGATTGATTCGTAACTGTTGTGGAGAGGATAATTGCCATATGGTGCATTTACAAATGATTGTGCGACTATAACTTACTTGAAATAAATGAGAAATACCAGCTAAATCTGGATGATGACATTTTCGTAGATTCTCTCTTAGTGTTATTGCTACATGCTCCATAGAACTCCAATCAATTGATGCTTCTGTCACTGAAGAAGAATTCAGTTACTGCAAATTGCGACAATCACAACTCAACCTAGTAAAGTCATTTTGTCATATAATAGAATCATTTCCAATCTTGCTAATACATATGTCCGACACAAATCAAGCAAATGACTAACTACAGTTGAAACACTGTTGAGTTTTTCTGCTCCGCCTTCTAGCTCTTTACTGAAGTATGTGATTCATGTCATATCCTAATCATAACTCAAAACATACGCAATAGCTTCATATTGACTTCGACATCCAACAACTTCTTTTCGGAACATTGTTTTGGCTCGGTTGTGCAAGAATGCCATTTGATAGTACTTGCAATCGCAGTTAGAAATCTGAAACAAGCCATGAATTACGAACCACATAGAGAAGTTATAATACTTCAGACAAGGCATTTAACAAGCGCCCCCACGCCAAATCTTCTGGTGTCGAAGTGAACAAAAGCTTCTTCTGTCGGAAATCATCAATTATTTTACTTGCCCGAGCGAACTTAATTAAAATAATTGCATTGACGGTTAAAATCAAATAAAACCTCGAACTTCTGTACTTCTCTCCCGAATTCCTCAATAATATTTTGAATATCCAGTTGTGTAACGGAACCGCGTAAAGTGTCTGCAAGAATATAAATCATCATTAAAAAGAAAATGATGCATGCTCTACCTCTAGCAGAGCCAACTTGAACTGAGTTTGATCGATCGCCAACAACCTGACAAGCTATTGCTTCCGACACTTCTTGTGGAGAACTATTCGTTTCCTCTTTTTCTTCAAATTCTTTTTTCATCTAAAAACATTCAAATAACATGAAACTGGAAATAGCTGCTAGAGCTCAGATACGACCGCACTCTGACGCGCAACTATTAGAAATGAAACAGCGCAGGCAACATCACACATACAATTCCACACGCGGAAAAATACACCAAAATCATATTGTTTATGAATTCAAAAAAAAAGTATGTTGATGGTTGTCAGGAATCATTATTCATAAGAGCTGTTTCTCAACAAAGAAAAATATCGAAAACTCCTAACGGAACTCTAGTGCTCTAATACAACTACGTAGGAGAATTGATTGAAAGTAAAAGGAAGCGCATTCTTTTATAAATGTCATATCTTGAGACTTATGACGTCATCGAAAGCTTCTTAGAAGCTGGAAAAAGACAAGTTTACAGAGATACGACCAACAATTCGGATTAAATGAGTATGTATGTGAAAGCAATCACGACTTTTATTAATTTTAGGGCATCAGACATCGATTATAAGTTTTCCTTTATATGCAAAAAGTGAAGTACAATATAAAACTGGATCAGTTTGTTATGATCATATTCATGCTTTCATCAAAAAATCTGAATAAAGCATCTTCCGCGGCTTTGTCTAGGGACGTTACGACGTCCATTTCAGATACCATAGATATATCTATGTATTGTTCCTTTTCTTTCTCCGTTTCCACTGAAGTTAGTTCCTGCAATGGACAAGTTATCTGTGTTCTTCAAGTCGATTCTTACTGATTCTGATGGTGAACTTTCTACGTCTTCAACGTTCCCAACTACTTTTTCCACAACAGCTTCAGGGATTTCTTCTCTGGGAATCTCCTCACTTCTGCTGTTGGACTCGACTAGTGTTACATCTTCTGTTTTGTTCAAAACTTCCACGGCAACTTGTTGTGGTTGTGGCTGATTTGCAAGACTGTTTTTGAGTCTGTCCCTCTGTGACTTTGGTTTGGGAGTATCATGTCTGGTGAAGTTTCCAATAGGCAACTAAAATACAAAGACTCTGTCACATATCACATTTGAAATGATGTACCTTGTCCTCATCAATAGTTGTATCTTGATCAGGGAACCGAACTCTAGGAGCAACAGCAGATATATCGTCTTCGGTAGTGGAGTTGGTTTCTTCTGAGAAAAAACGTTTTACTAGAGCCATTCTACCACTGTATTTACCTATGTGCACACCTTGCTGAGGTAACAAGTAACATGTGAGAACTTTACTTCCATCAACTGGATGTCTAGTAACTTGCATCTTTACTTTTCCCTGCGTCTGTACTTCTGATATCCAGAGAGCTTTTAGCTTCAGAAGTACATTAACGGTGAAAGGAAGGTGTGTAAGAAGATTATTACAAACATCCATAACAACAAGTTCAGAGCATTTACCAATCTCGATAGGGATTTCACTCAACTTGTTTTCACGCATGGAAAATATAGTTAATGAACTACAGTTTCCTATCTGAAGTACGATAGCTTAACAATGTAATACGAATCTGTTTACCTCTGCGGGGAGATGAGTGATTTCATTTTTATCAATGCTGAGCAAGCTAAGATGTTGCAATTGTCCGATCGTGCTTGGCAACTCCTGAAAATGTCTTATGAACTGAATACTGGCAGTCGAGAACTAACAGTCAATAAATTATCGGATAAATAGAGCTCTTTCAAGTTGACACAATCTCCGATGGAGTCACATAAAGATGTTATAGCATTTTTTTCTAACTTCAAAAATGTTAGATTTTTTAACTGGCCAATAGAGTCTGGTAGTGAATCGATGATGTTCTTGGACAAGTTAAGATCAGTGAGCTTATTCAAGTCACCAAAATCGTCTGGTAAGGATCCTATCCTGTTATCACTAGCATCTGTATGAAGAAATATAAGATTGATCGAGAGTAGATGTCATCAGTACCTAGTTCTTCCAAACTCTTACAGCTGGTTATTTGATCAGGAAATACTTTTACTGAATTTTTATCAATGTACAGTTCTCTCAGAGACTCCATACAACCAATATCAGCGGGCTATAAAGATTGGGTAATGTGGAATAGATGAAAAGGAAACACTTACCATCTTCTCAAACTCATTGTCACCCAAGTCTAAGACTTGTAATTTTGAGAGGTGTGTTATAGAAGGAGTGATTGCTTTTATCTGGTTTTCTCGGACCTGTAAACAACAGAGATGAGATCATTTTTGAAGAAATGAATACCTCAAGAGATCGAAGGTTTGCAAGATTGCCAATTGTGGCAGGTAGCTGAGTGAGAGTTATATCATTCAGACCAAGATAAGTTAGAGAAGTGCACTGACAAATTGCCTCTGGTAGTCTGCAGCATTGAATTCAATCACGTTAGTAATTAAAAAAGAATACCGTGCAATGATATTGAAACTCAAATCAAGAACCATCAAAGATCTGCATTGTTCCAATTCATCGGGAATAACAGAGATAGCTGCAAAAACGAAAATTGTTTCCAATAATTATAGCTAAGATGAACACAACCGCACAACATCCAATTTTAAATAAGAAATGACGCAGATTCAACCAAACTCACGTAGGAAATTTCACGTGAGCTTGTACAAATATGTTAATTAGCCAGCACGATCAAGCTAATCATACTACAATGATTGGAACATACCGTTATTGCGGAGACGAAGTTCCAATAAATTTTGCAAATGGGAGATATCTGAGGGGATGGCTTTGATGTCATTGTCGCTCAAATCGAGATATCGAAGTTTCGTTAAACGAAATAAATTCTGAAACGGAAAACATAGGAATTTTGAGGAGGAGTAAAGGTACCTTCGGGATCTCTTCGATTTGATTTGTAGACAACAGGAGTTCCTCTAAGTGTTTATACTTATGAATGTTGGGAGGTACCTTGAAAACGAGAATCGTAAAGAGAACAACTTCGCAGACTAACCGCAGTTATGTTTTGTCGTCGGCGATCGAGGTGATCAATCTTCTTAACACATCCAATAGGCATGCAAAACGGCATGGTTGCAACTTAAAAAAGAAGACATGAAAGCAGAATCACACGATATGGAAGGACTGGGAACCAAAATAAAATGAGAATTGACATTTACCTGTGAAAGGATTGTTTTGCCGTTTTGCTCAGCTGAGGTTTAGAGCCCAATCGATACGATTAATATGGTTATCGCGGAACGGATCAATACATTAGACAGTGTAGGGTCAAAGGTAGGTTCTACTACTGAGTACAGCCAAATATGGTTCTCTGTTTTTATCTTCTCCCTCGCTGAGCACCTCTTACAAGGTCAGCGAGCTAGCGAGAGGTCAGGGTTCCAATACAGAAAAGGAAATAATGTATAGCAAAGGTTATTTGTAACCATACTGGCGCTTGGCATTTGAAAATGCTAATGCTCATTCATTTTGCGCATAAAAAATGGTGGATTTACGAAAGATGTGTTATTGATGAGACGCAAAACATTAAAAACAGACAATGGGTGGAGAGATAAAGAGTTTCGACCAATTCTTCAAAACACATAAGGTTTCGAACGTACGAAACAACGTAAAACAGGATTAGTAGTGGAGGACACTAAATCACACATCTTCTCCACACAAAATACTTTACCATTTCATCCCCTCAGATCTTTTCTTCCTCCTCCTCCCAATCTCTATTTAATGTTTTAATTGGTCGTTATATAATAGATGACTTCAGAAAACCTTTTATGGATTATCATTTATCGATATGAGCTCCAGTCCCGAACTTGTAATCAGTGAAGAGGAGTTGAGAATCATCCAAGAACACATTTATGGAAGATATGGAGAATTTCCGGAAGTGGACGTTGGAGATGAGATTGTTCAATGTACAAGTGGAGTACTGGGTAGCTTACAAGTTGAACTTTTTCGTTTGGTTATGCTTACTATGTGCCAAAGACTCATCCAACTGACATGTATGTTATTTGATGACTTCCGGAATACGCATACTGTTTAAGGCTTCCCTGATTTAATTAAACTGCTATTCATCATATGCTGCGGGGTTTATGCTTTATGTGACTTCGTCAAAAATGATCATCTTTTTAACATTGTACTACTCTTCCCTGCAGCATGTCTCGTGTATATTCTCGCTGCACCATTGCCCAAGAAAGGATTGTTCGTAACACTTTTCTCCATGGCCCTACTCATCTCCTTGTAAGTATTGAGTGCCAGCACAAACATATGAGAAAATTTTAGAGAAGCAAGGTATGATGCTTCAGAAACTTCAGCCATCAGGGGTATATTAATGTCCTTAATTATGCGGTTATCATCATTCGCATTCGATTATGAGAATGGAATCATACCTCTGACTGGAACCATTTCATATTTTGCCTACTTGTTCAATCCGGCAGCTATTATATTCGGACCTTTCTGTACTTTCATCGATTTCGTTGAGACCTTCAGAAAGAACTCTTTCAAAGTAAGACTCCTGTTTACCAGTTAATAATCCCTTTTCATTCAGAGAGAATTGTATGTATGGATCGTCTCTTTCGTATGCATAGTATTATCCCTCTGCTCTGTTCTTCTATCATCATGTTCTTCTATTTTCGAAACAGAATCTATGCTTATTAACGATTATATCGGAGCTTTCAGCTTCCGAACCAGCCATTACTTCATATGTCTCTTCTCCCAAGGTTTCCTTAATCTATAAGTTAATCATATGTAAATATTGTTTTCAGGTCTCTTTTGGCTGACTGGAGGTACTGGATGGGTTGTTCATCCTATGAGCGTAGAAGCTCCCCGTTCTGTGGTTGACATAGTAGTTGCTTGGAACATTCCGATGCACAAATACCTGAAAAACTGTAAGCGGAAACCCATGACAGTTCATCCTACTCTTCAGATGTTTATAAGCCGGTGGGTCAACTCGGACATACGTCGCTAGCTATCGGTTTGACGTTCTTAGTTAGTTCCCTCCTACATGTGAGTTGAACAGGAGCTGTCTTGAGAATTTCTTTTTCTTAAGGGTTTGAACATCAAACTGTCTTTGGTTTTGCTCTCTCTGGGTTATCTAACGTGGGTAGAGTCAGGTGATGTCCACCCTAACAACATGCCTAATCTAAACTTTTCTAGTCCTCCGGTACAGGCTGAGCAATGTTCTATCAGCATGCATAAGAGCCCGTCCCTGTGTTGACGATTGCAATCATTTAAGGAAATATGTGAGTCCTATAGAAAACATAGATTTAAAAATATTTTTTTAAAGAACAATTGGTTTACCAGAGCAGCCAATGGTTTCTTTGCCCTTCTAGCGGTTTATCACCTTATTTATTTGGGAATGATCTTCGATGGACAGGACGTCGAACATGATACATTCTATGCTGTTTTCACAAAATGGTCTAGTCACAGCTTCGCAAGTGTGAAGATAGCCTTAGTAGCTCATGTAACTCTATTGGTAGTTCAGCAACTGTTCCCTCCTAGTGATTCCTAGTTTAAAAGAATCTCGTTTTATCTCTATTGTCTCTTAGTTGGTGCATCATTTGAAGATCTGTAAAAATCGGGTTGAATATAAACGAAGTGTTCATTATCGTGTCACCATGCTTATTATCTCTTCCGGAGCCCATGTTTACAAATTTGAGAGAAATGGAAAAAAACGAGAACAGATGTTCATAAATGACACGTGAGCACTTGAGCCACGTTGTCATATGTAAACGTTACGTGATATCATTTCTTAACTCATGAACACAGAGATCGGTTGCATTCCAACTTCCAATACAGAACTACGTGGAGAATGAGGGGTATGTGGAGTAGTATACGTTGTGAGAAAGCTTTCGAAGCTGTATTCACACAGTTTTTCTATTCGTCAACGTCTTGAAGCCCAGTAATATTTCTCAGGAGAGTAGTGTAACAATGCCCGATGAAAAGACAAAGTTCAAATTAACGAAACGTATACTTCTCGGAATACGAACTCATTTCGTATTTTGCACCTTTCGAATGTGTTTACGTCTTCACCTGAAAACATGAACTAAAGAATCATATGAGGAAATAAGAACATACGTATCTTCACTAGTCTTTCCTCGAAAATGAAAATTCATAGCTGAAGAAGAAGGACAGCTGTTTCAAAGCAAATAGCTCTAACATGCAAAACAGAAACGATTCATTCATCCTGCATCTCCAACTATTATTCGGTTCTTCTCCACGTTAGATTGTGTTCTTTTTGCTCACGTATTAACATTCTATCAATCAGAACTCTATAATTGATTTCCTATTGTTGTGCTGAACTTGAGAAGCAGATGCAAACATAGAAAGCCTGCAAGATGAGTGATTGGCTGCAGAAACCTTCGCCCAGTGAGTTGCTTATCCAAGGTTTCAATGAAGAGTTTGCCATTTAAGCTAAAGCCGGTAGAGTCATCCGAACATTCGGGCAAGATCTCGAATCTGTCTTCTTTGCTGTAATAACGTTCCTTTCTGGTGGTGTCCTTCTGTTCATCACATGCTTCGTAATAACCAAATGTATGCAGTGTTACAAGGCTCGATTACGGAGGTGAGAAATGGGTTGTGTCATCTGTAATGTAAAAATAAAATGTTTAGGAAAAGAAGACGAGCCATGGGAGAAGATGATGATGAAGAAGACGAATTAACTGCTGCTGTTCTTTCTGGCGCCTTCGAAGTTGGAGACGATGATGAGGAAGAAAGAGGAAGCGAAGAGGGACGTCTTGTTGATTTGTAACCTTCGAAATGTAAATATTTGAAATATTTTTGTTTGTGACAACATCACCAATAGATGGGAGAGACAGACAAAGCATAATTAATAACTATTCATTCTTTCAAACAAATGTTACAATTCGTTCAACGTTCGATACCTTTTTCTAGTGAGAGTAGAGTAGAGGAGAAAGAGGAAAAACTTAGAACATATCACGACTTCTAAAGAAACAATACATTAATGAAATGTTCGAGATGAGTTTTTTCTGTCGTTTACTGAATCAAGACAACAAGAGGAAACAAAATAATTAGAACTATTCAGATGAAGTTATCAAAGAGAAAGAAGTCGAATCAAAATCAGACACATCAATACTTAAGAAGAACATAGGAGTCATGAAGAACCGGGACTATAAGCTCAGTTTCTTAAAAAAAGTAAAATGAAGAGAACACAAGACAATTCAAAACAAGAGCACAAGAAAATCACATAATGCAACAAGCTTTAGGCTTGCCATCAATTGAGTACCGAAGCTTACGTAATTCCCCAGTGGGTTTGTACTTTTCTAGGAAGGTCAATTGCCTTTGATTTAGAGCTCCTCGTCGATGTCTGAATCCATAGTATAAAGATGATTACTTTTCAGAAAATCCTACCTTCTTATGAGATCTACAGCATCTTCATATTTCATTCCAGCTTCGATTAAAGCTAGAGCAACGAGAACGGGAGCTCTTCCCAGACCGGCTACACAATGGACTGAAGCAATACTACTATATAAGGTTGAGATATAAAGAAACTAACCGGCTATGCACTGCTCCGGATTGTTTGTATCTTTGAAAGAGGCCCTGACAAGATCAAGCCAATCTCGGATAACCTGGAATGAATGAGATTGATGATGTGTTCCGTAGACAATGAAAACAAACCTCCTTGGGCGGAGGGCTACCATCGGAAAACTCCCAATCCAAAACATTAATACCATGTTCAGTGAGGGGTGTAGTTTCATAAGTAGGCTCGCATACTCTGACCACAGATTTAGCAGAATGCTTATCAAGCTCCTAGAATGATAAAGTTGAGATATGGTAAGTATGCTGTAAGATGCTCACTTCAATGAAACTGTTGATGGAGTTATCATTAGGGCGATCTGTGATAAGGAAACTGAAAGAGCATTGTAAAGTGGGGGAGTATAGTTCGAAATGAACTTACCGCATGCGACCAAATGCGATCTCCGAAGGTGCAGGTTTGAAGTAAGCAGGATTCACTGCTATTCTTTTCTGAGCTGTTGCACTACCCATGATGAAAAGATATTAGTAATATTAGAGGTAAATCTGAAAGAGAGAATCATAGAGAGTACTGTATTGAGTCACTAACCTTTAAGATAAATTATCAAGGTGGTTGTAGATAAACACAATCAAATAATAGTTTTTGTAGAATGATATTCGACGCTAGTCAACGGCAACCAAGTTCGTGCTGCGCTCTGCAGTATTCAGCAGCCGGGGCCAAGTCCCTATTTGTCAACCGGCTTTAAAAAACAAAAAATTAAGAATCAGTTCAAATCTTGAGATTGTTTCATGAGATGAAATACATGCCCCCCTCCCCCGTCCCTAATGTACGACGCAATCGAAACAGAGCAGAAAATTCTAGACAGGTCTGAGATTTGAAAGAAGGAGAAGTAGCAGAAGAGAAGCAGAAACGGTTTTTCCTTTCTCGCAATTCGGGAAGAAAATTGAATGATACGAACAGTCAAAGACTAATTGCAAACAATCCTAAGTCAATAACGATAATTTAAATGTAAGCAAAATGAGAGAGGACTAAAAGGAACAAGCAAAACAGCCGAAGTCATGTAATAGCCAAAACGGAAAATATTTTTTGCGATAAGAATTGGAACGATTAATAAATCAAATTGAGTTTTACAATTTTACAGTTTCATCTCGAAATACGATCAACATGTCCCGTACGATTGAAAGCTTTATGTAATCGGCAAACTACTGATGGCGTCCCCTTTCCACCCTCGGACAATCACACACACATACATACCATGGTCAAGAGGGTTTAAACTATTTGAATGCAAAAAAGAAAGATAAGAAGAGACAGTGCAGGACACTACAAGTTAACTGATACTACCCAATGTTTCGTTTATAATTATTTATCAGATGAACATGTTTGAGTCGTTAGTCAGACTACTCCCTAAGGCAGACATGTTACCCCCAAGCATTGCATACTTCAATGTTCACTGTTTTACTGTGAGAACAACGTTGTTCACAATAAAAATCAGCCAAGAAATCAGAAATGCAAAGCTGATGGCAATGTTAGCAAAATGAAAGAACTGAACATACCTGTAGATGTTAGTTTGATGAGGGCCTATGCTCATAGCACTATTTCAGTCGTCAATAGCTTCTCGTAGCCGAACGAGACGCGTGATAACTGCAATGAAAACGAATATATTATTTCATGAAAACATTGAAAGAAGAAGAAGAAGAAGTTATGAGAAGAAGAAGAAAGAACTGAAGGTCAATTAAAGTAGCGGAGAGCAGGAGTAAAGCTAACAAACAAAAAAAATCATATGACTATGCCTTGAAGTAGAGCAATTTCTGTGAAAAGTTGGCGTATTACGAAATTTGCCAGAAGCAGTTTAGAAGCAAATATAGCTAGTGTCGCCATGACAATTCGTGTCACAATTTGAGTTTGAGGCATTCGGAAAACAAGTAACAGCATCTAGCAATTGATAAATTACAGAAGAGTAGAGAGAGGACCAAACTGAACAGTACAGAAGCTGTTCTTAGTAAAAAGTCAAAGCGTTTTGAGTGCGATGATAGCTTGGTGTACATTGGATGAAAAGAAGAGAGAAAACAGAGAGACAGGCGGAAAATGAGAGAGAAAGATACAATGAGAGAGAAAAAGGATGAGGGCGGAGCGTAGACCTCACCACGGAATGTTATGGATCAGAGAAAGAGAGTCCAAGCACCAAGAAGAAGAAGAGGAAAATAATGCATCCTCTACCACCAACAGCACAAGCACTGCGAGGACATATGCATAGGCGGCCAAACATTTTTTTTAGCCTTATATTGATAAGATTGTCCAAATTAGCATTAATAAAATAATTCAGAGAAGGTTAAAGACGAGTTGATTGAGATGAAAGGAGAGAGAGAAGACAGACCTGTTGACTAGCTGTTATCATAACAATAATGATATTGGGTGAGGAAATATGAAATACACGCCAGCTCACACATGATTCAGACTGCTGCTGTCTATCTCTCTCTCTCTCTCTCTCCCTCATAGCGTTCAACTTGCATTTCAAAAGAGTTTTATTGGACGGAAGACAACAAAAAGGATGTCGAATCAGTTTATATTTTTCTGAGAAAAAAAAAAGAAATGTTGCGTAGTTTTTCCGCACATTATCGATTGAATATGAATCCGTCGTCCATTAAAAAACTAAATGAGTGATTGTAATGTTTTGAGAGTTGTGGGCGGAAGTAGCTGATGAATCCCGTGACATACGTGACTTCGCTCATTTTAACATAAATGTACGTGCCGACCGGTTGCATTCAGCTTTTCCCTCCCTGCACGGCTTAACGGTAAAGCTGGATGTTGCTGGTTGTTTGTTCGTTTTGAAACTCTTTTAACAAAGTTCATTTAATTCAATATAATCAACAAAAAAAAAGTTTTACATAATAGAGTTTGTAAGATTGGTCAGATCCCTGAGCACGTAAAGTACTGCCCGGGTACTGAGCAAGGACATACATCCCTCTACCACCACCGTTTCTCATTTTTTATTTCATTTTATGAAATGAATCGGAAGTAGACGAGAGTAAGAAGAAAGAAAAAAAAAGAAAATGAAAACGGCTCATAACCAAAGATTAGAGATTTTTCGTTTGCGAAATACATTCGACAACAGACCATCCCAGAGACTATGAAAGTTAAAAATTCAAAAGTTGCAAGGGAGCATGCAAAGTGTTCCTTTTGAAAAAGAAATTTACACTGATTTTGTTTTGTTTTCATTTCTTCTCTCACTAGTTTCCAACAGATTGTTTAACAGAGAGAGAGAGAGAGAGAGAGAGAGAGAGAGAGAGAGAGAGAGAATAGAGTTGAGAAGGAAGAAAAGAAACCAAGCAGAATATTAAGTGAATGAATTGACAAACGTTTTCAGCGCACATGACCTAGTTGGTGAAATTCGAAGCTCTTGAAATATTTTGATTTTGATGAATCACAAAAAATAACGATTTGAAAACATGTGTGAGCAGAGTACAAAGATGGAACAATAGGAGTCAGTGAGGAGAAGAAAGGATTGCAATTTCGAGAAGAAGAAAAAAAAACGAAGTGAGTATGTTAGTACGGCATATGGGCTTTACGTAAAAACGAAGTACGAATTTCAGAAGAAGGAGGGAAAGAGAATGGATGGGTGAGAGTGGAAAGACGAAAACGGAGGAGAGGAGACCGACCGGCAAGAAGCGAGTCCGGAAAACAAGCTGTCGTTGTCATCGATAGAAAGCCGGTCACGAGTGGAACAGGAGACTCGAAATCTTTACTGGTCGGAGAGAGGAACAATTGCAAGTTAGAAAGCCTTAGCGTATACTTGATATCATATGATTACGGAGGAATAGCTGAAACGTTGTCTGCTATGAGACTTTTAATGAGTTCTGTTGCAGCAAAAACAAAAACAAAAAGTTAGTACGTGCCGATGATGTCATTGTAGGATTGAATACAAATACAAATGGAGATATCAAACTTTCCAATTGAAAAAGCACCTGACGATTATGGCTGTTGATCGTGCTCTCTCTCTCTTGTCATCTCTGGCACTCTCTCTTCATGCCATTCACTCTCTTAGTCTCTCAAGTGGTCAATTCGTTCCGTAACTTCCTCCAGCAACATGTGATATGGTTTAGCAGTTGCGTGATAAAGTTTCCGAAAAACTCTTATCCAACTTGGCAAATATCATTAAAGAAATGAGATTGGAGCATATGTGTGACGACGAGAGAAACAATAACCTTATATGGGCAACATAGGTTTTCACTAATTGTTTGTTGAAGTTTACAAGTGTCAGAAGTTGGTATTGCTACTTCCTGGTGCTAATTGGTCATGTTGTGTGTGTGTGTATGTGATGAATTCACTGAATAATTGATAAAAAATGAGATTGGAGGATTGCAATGGCAAAGCGAGGTGGAACTCTGAAGAACGAACGAACGACGCAAAGAGAAACATGGAAAAGCAACCGCTTGAGGGCGTTTTGAAAATGAAAATGAATGCTTAGACGAGCAAGTCAATCACGTGAAAAGGCTTGTGCACGTGAACACAGCCACGTAAGTAAATTGATTTGAGGAATAAGCCGAACAGAAGCTTAAACAAAATCCTTTTATGGTTTTTCAGTTGTGCAAATAAGGAAGGGGAAGGAATATGTTTGTTAAATGAAAGTGAATATAGATATCTCAAATTCGCATGAGAATCTCTTCATATTCGATTGTTGTTGAGAGAGAATGGAGAACGGCCAAATCAAGAATTGTAGAGGAACGAGTGGAAAAAAAACATAAAAAAACATTACATCTTTCAACAAAAATCGTGAATTTGCAGCATCTGAGTTACCAGAACCCCAAAAAAGCTTTTTAGAAATTCTCAAAACAAAAGCTGAAAGTGCATGAAGTAGTTAGTGATCATTTGCAATTCAATTTTATGATTGAAAATCACACACACACATACACATACAAATACACGTGCAGATGCATATATGGAGACAGAGAGAGAAGGAGAAAGAGAAAGAGAGAGCGAAGAGCAGTGTTTGTATCAAACAACTGCAATCACAACTTCTTGAAGGGAGATGGATGAAGGAGTATTGTCAAGAAAAAGGAAATTAATGCAGTTCACTGATGACGACAATTGGCTGTGGCTTTCTTCCGATGACGAACATGTTGAAAGGTTTCGCAGATGCACAAAAAAAGTATTTTGATCTTGCCTATCTACATCAAAGCGCATCATTCAAAAAAGGACCGAACAACTCGTGTGTCTTCTGAGGAAAAGAGGGAAAGGAAGAGAAGGTAGGAGAGGATGATGGAGGAAGAATTGAAACATAAACGTACTTTCAATCGTTTCGGTTACAAGTTGTGGCTGTGGCTCTCTGAAATACGATTGAAACTTGAATGAAGAACAGAAAAAATGCGAATAGCTGTTTGATTTTATCACAAGAAAAGCGAATCGTCACAAGAATAAACAGAGGGCGTTTGTGAAGAAGTTTAGAGAAAACGAATTTCTCAATGTTGTCAAGAGGCAAAACGTGCTTTTCACTCTATTTTTTGATCTCCAAATGTGCAATTATTGAAATATTTTGATATAACAAGGGAGGAATTAACTAACAGACAATGAGGTACAGAGAGAGAGAGAGAGAAGGAAGAGAGAAGGGAGAGAGGGAGAGAGGGAGAGAGTAGAAGATGAATGAAACAACAACTGAGACAAGTTCTATTGGAATCGCAATGAAAAAAAAAAGAGAAAACCTAAGCGTCTTGGCCAGCTTGATCCACACACAAAAACAAAATCATTGTTGATGAAGCTTAGAGCTTATGAAGCACATCAAGACAAATCAAAAGCCCAAAAGCAATTGAGCCAAAAGAGATGAAGAAAACGGGAAAGTAGAATGATTGAAGAAGGCATCATCGAATTTGCTTCATTTTAAGCTGATTATCAGCAGGCGACATGCTTCTCAATTGATAAAAGTGGTTTTTGGGACTGTCATTTATGAGCAGATAGAAGATAATTGTTAGATTGCATAACGATCAAAAAATTACAAATTCATTAGTAAAGAGTCGAAAATCAATCTCATTAAAAGCTTTTCGCAGTCGCTGCTGCACGTGCTCTCCGAACAAAAAACGTTTTGAAATCAATCATAAGTAGAGGAGAGGAGGGGTTGAGTTGGTGAAAAGGGGATTGAGACTCGCCAAAGTCATGTTGATCGGAGTAATGAAAACACTCTGACCCTTAGACTACAAGTTGTTGCTCTATGCGTTTGAATGGGATGTGCGAATGTGCATGATGACAAGTGATTGCGAGCGGGGGCATATCGGCCTCCGCCAAGACGAGAGTCCTCTGCTGCTGTTCCAGAATTTGCTCTGATAAACGTCTTATTTTCGAATTTTTGCGATAAATCGATAACGGGTGTACTTTCCTCATAAGGTTCTGATAAGAGAGAGACATACATCTGTAGTTTAGCGTTTTTGTAATAAAAATTGGTATTTGGTGACATATATCTAGAATGCTCAACCGTTTTTGAGGTCAGAATAACAACAAGAACCGGAAAGTTCACGTGAAAATGACGTGGAAGCAGTTCATTGAATATGCAAATGAGGCAGTTACAGACATTTCAAACGGAACTGAAATGAAATATATGCCTATATTTGGAAATAGAATGAAGAAAACAAGAATTATTCTGATTTGAATGATAGGATGAAGACTCGGCTGTTAATCTAATTCTATAAGATACTTAGATAGCTTTTCATATAAAAAAATCCTTTATCTCCTATCTGAATATATGGATAATGAGGAAATATGAAGGAAAAATTGCCTCAGGCAATACTACAAAAACCGATTATGCCAACCTATGTATAGGAGAAGCCGAGAAAGAAGCCGTCCAAGGGACTTTTCTCATTTTTTCTCTTCATAAGCATCTCTTCATTTGTTTGACGCCAAGAAAAATGATTAGAAGGGGCTGAAGTAGAGAGAGAGAGAGAGATAGGTGTTCTGATAACCTAAATAGATTAGGGGAATGGGATCAAGGACGGACACTCGTCTGGTCATTTTACATTCATTGACTACACTAGCTGGTTGTCACATCTTCCTTTGTTTCATTCCTTTAGTTTTACATATTGTATTTCAGCCATGGACAAACAGTCCACAGCTTTCAACCCAGCCTGGGTTTCCTCAGGTGTTTCCCTGTTTTGTATTCTAACAGTCGCTGTTGTGCTTCCATCTCTCTACTATCAATTAGATGCTGCTCAAACACGTCTGCAAGTCCGCATGGATTCATTTAAGGTTTTACTGATTTGAAGCTTCTTGTTAACAAGAAACTTTCAGTTCACAGCTCGAAACATTTGGAAAGATGTTGTTTTGGTGAAGAGTAACGGACGTATCCGTCGTCAAGGATACGGAAGCTCTTACGATGCCCAAGGAGATAATCAGCAATGTACTTCTTGTGTTCAACTTCAGTGCCCACCAGGACCTCCAGGTCCACCTGGAGTTAATGGTGAACCCGGTATGGATGGCTCTGGAGGAAGACCAGGTACTTGCAGCTCATGTTTATGTGTATATTGCTTATTCTTCAAGGTAAACCTGGACTCGATGGATTGGACATTCCACTCGATCCTGAACCATCTTTCCCATGTGTTATCTGCCCAGCTGGTCCACCAGGAAATCGCGGAGCTCAAGGAGAAACTGGTCGTCCAGGAGTTCCAGGAGAGCCAGGACACCCAGGATTACCAGGTCGTCCAGGAAAGCCAGGACGTGTTGGAGATGCCGGAGAACAAGGAGCACCAGGAGAGCCAGGAGAGCCTGGTATTAAGGGACCCCCAGGAGATGACTCCATCGGAGGAGTGGGAATTAAGGGACCCCCAGGTCCACCAGGACCAAGAGGACCTAAGGGACCACCAGGAGCCAATGGTATGCCATCTCAAAACCCAGGACCCCCAGGACAAATCGGAGAAACTGGACCTCCAGGACCACCAGGACCAAGAGGAGAGCCAGGACCAGCTGGACCATTCGGACCTCCAGGAGACTCTGGAGAACCAGGTGGACACTGTCCCTCATCTTGTGGAGTTCAAGAAATCGTCGCCCCCAGCGTCAACGATTTGGATACTCAACAAGACTATCCTCAACAACACCCTCAACGATCATACGGAAGCGGAGGATATGGAAAATAGTTTTGTTATTATAACTCAAATAAAATGTTTTCATAGAATGAATTTGTTTGTACGAACACATGATAAGGTAATTATGATATAAATTGAACGCAGCTTCTCCCCTCATGACAAGGAAAAAGTAATGAGTGAGCAGCAGCAGCAGGCACGACCGTTCAACAAGACATGACGAAATCAAAAATGATGTCTTGAGAGTTGATTTCATTTTTGTTTCGTTGAAGGAATTTGCGGTTGTTGATGTGTAGCTAGGCTTCACGAAGCCATCTCTATGAACTTAAGCAAGATGTACTTGATCATCTCACTACGAAAGAAGCTGAAAAAAGTGGGAAATAATCTGAAATCCATACAATGAATCTGCCGTTCATAATTTAATTGATGAAGGGTATGAAGAACGGAAGTAAATGATTTCATTATAATATTTTCATCTTTCAAACTAAAAAGGCATAAATAGTTATGGCTTTATTCGGAAAACTTCAAAGTGATTATATGTGTTATCTAGATAATAACTTTCATATACAGAAGGCTCTGAAGTCTTTTAGAAGGGTTATGACATTCCAATGTTTTATGCTTTTTCATGTTTGATCATTCTATTTATGTCTCTTTCATATATTAAAGTGTAAGAACTTGAGAGTTGTTTGTTCTCATGATCTGCACGAACTTTACTCTCTCTATACTTACTTACATCCTTCTTTATATAACTCACTCTCTCTCTTTATTTCTCTTTTTCTCTATCCCCCTCTCTCTCTCTCTATCTCTCTCTTCATCTACCTATTTCTACTATTCAGCAATTGAACGCAAAAAACGATTGAAAGTTATGTTTCTCAAGTTCACAAACACGTTAGAGTGTGCAATTTATTTTATTTTTCTTTCTCCGGATGCTATCAGGCAGGTAGTTCTTGAGTATCATGAGTTGATAAGACAGAAGGCTGCTGTTACAGAAGGTCTGGTTGGTTGGTTTCCAACGCCTTCTTAACTAAATGTTTTCTTAAGATAAGAAGCTTCAGATCATATAAGGCTGGTGGGAGCTTGTATTGGCTGATTATGATAGCAATTGAGCTGATAGTCAATCATCTACAAATGAATGAGAACTATAAGAGTTGGCCAAAAAGAGAGGTAGATAGCATGGAAGTGGGAGAGAGAGATAGAGAGTGAATGAGAAACATGAACACATCAACTGATTAGAGACTGTTGAGAAAACTACATGAAGATAAGCCAAATAATTGGAAACTAATCATGTTTCACCTCCAACTGACCCATCATAATCTGTTTTCCAAATAATTGCATTTGGTAAGATTTCAATTGATATTGTAAGACGGTTATCAATCATGCTCCTCCCGTGTCAGGCGAACTCATCTTTCCCAATATTCTCTTTTCACTTTTTAGTTTGTTGTGTTGATTCACATTTCTCACACCATTATGCAAATGACTGATAAGTTGAGAACAGTTGATGAACAGGATGTGTTGTTAGCCAATCATAGCACATGGAAGTTGACTTGATTAGTCTGTCAGCTACTGATCATATGTCTCTGTTATGTGTCCTTTTAGCAACTTTGACTCGCTCGCAGAACTCCAACTTGATTATCATGTGATTATTTTAAATTTTCTACTTCTTGCCCATTCAAGAAAGATATTGTTTTTCATTTACTTTCCTAGCACAAACGTCTTTAGTCATTCTCATTAGCCATCTCTCTCTCTCTCTCTCTCTCTCTCTCTCCATTCTCCAAATTAGGAGAGTTGATCGTTAACTACTATCTTTGAGGAAATAATTTACAATTAAATATTAATTTTAATCTTAATGACAACACTTGAGACTACCGTTTTTGATTAAACATACTCTCTCTCTCTCTCTCTGTCTGTCTCTCTACATGCCTCTCTCTATATATATGCCTCTCTCTATATATATATGCCTCTCTCTCTCTATACATGCCTCTCTCTCTCTCTCTTTTATTAACTACCTTTCTCTTTTATCATTTACATATCATAAGTTCTTTAAGTGTTAATGCCGACACATCAGTTACGTCAGAAAGTTGTAAAAAGCGCTTCAAACAGCCGATTGATAATATTCCTTTTATTTCATATATCGTACTTTCGAAAAAATGATTCTCTTCTATGTTTTACTCTCTTTCATCATGCAACTCTATGACTTCTCTCATCTCTTGTATGAATAACTCTGCTTCACCTTCTTACAAGCTGAATTCCACACAGCCCCCGCACCAAACCCTCCTTCCTGTCTACCTCCCTACTCCCTCCCTCACTTCCATTCTTGTTCAAAACAGTTTCACAATCTGTTTGTTCTCGTTTATAACTGTTTTTATTCATCAAAAAACTATCTTTAACTATATTTGCTGAGATTAAAACAACTTAGTCGGCAGCTGAGGTCATCTGAAGATTACGGTTTCCTCTTTCTGGCAGATTATCCTCGATGACTCTCTTCATGTACAAATAACTGCTTGTAGACAGGCAAACTTTCATGATCGGCAAACGAAAAAGGAAATGAAAGGTGTTTTTTGGATTAAATAATATCTTTAACGATCATGTATCACTTTCGAATATCAAATTACGTTCAAATGATTCCGCTCCTCCTTTACCTTATGTAATGGAGATTGTGAGTTCATGTCGGAATGAAGTTATGAAAAGATCAAACTCAATCGAAATATTATTTTTTTTACTTGTGGGGTTAACGAAAAGCATGATTTCTAATTTCTATCCTCGTCAGGATTATAAATCGGGAAGAGCGTATTCAATGCTAGTTTGAACTTATCTATGTAGCATGGTTCCCTCAGCATGTATTTGGTAAGCTTAGGAAGGTCAAGAAATCGTTAAGGCTTAACATCCTTTATCTCTTTCTCTCACCTCTTCTGTATACCTTTAGACTGTTTATGGGTGTAAGCATTCATTATTCACATCTTCTTTAATAACATCAAAAGCTGATAGATCATGGATAGATAGATTACCGTACTATTAGCACAATTACTAATCCCTTACAAAGACTTTAGGTCATCACATCACAACAGTTAATGCAGTTTACAGCAAACATCAAGAGATGATCAATAACGAATAGATCATTTACGCTTATGATCTATCTCATGTTGTAGTTTTGAAGTAAAAAAGTACTTTTTTACTTTTCTTCAAAGAGCTCCTTCAAAAGCCGTTGTGATTCAGAAACGGAAACTTGTAGCGACATGGGTAATACCGTAGTTGCATAGATGGGATGAAAACCCTTTTGCTGAGCTACTTTCAAAAGCATTCAGCTTTACTTTTTTGTGATTGTAAAAAGGAAAGTCAAGAGAGAATTCTTGCTTTGCGTCACAAACGGTTCTCCATCTGCCTCAAAGATGTCGTCTTCTCTAACCGTCGGCTATATGAATGTGGCGGAAGTGAGAGAAGTCTGATATCGGGAATGGAACCTTCCCTTCACCTAACTATATGTTATTCATATCCAGCATGGTATTCTTATTAGTTCAAAAGGTCATAAAAGGTGTCTAATATGCGCTTGTAGGCACAACAGCAGAATATTGATATCGGTATGTTAGGAGGAGAAGCTTTCATCTGACCGACATTCTCGTAGTTCATGTGATCAGTTAAACTATTTGTTTGTCAGAATTCATCAAACAACTTTCTGTTTCCATATTGAAACATAAAATATCCAGGAAAGTCGTTAGAGCTTGAGAATCCAGATCATTGCATTGGGGGTTTCCCAACTATCACTCCTCACATACTGCTTTTGCTGCTAGGCTGATCTCGATCCCTATTGATGATAGCTGTTGCTTATCTTTCAGCTTCTACCGTATTAGACGGTAAGCATGACATTACAGTATCTTGTTTTCTTGAAGTCTGAAACTTTTTATGTGTCGTATGGCCCCCTCTTTGCACAAGCAAATCTGGTTTTACTTATGACCATCTCGAGCTCTTTGCGCGAGATGCTGTTTCTTTATTTGATAGGTACAGCCGGCTTTCAGTTCTTATCATACAAATAAGGATGGCTAGGCATACACATACCAGATTCAGATGACAGCGACGACGTCGCATCTTCTTCGTTTTTCATATCTTCTTTCTTTGATTTTGAGTCATATACCTGTCAAAATAGCTTTACAGGCTTTAAAGCGGCACATGTCCCTAAGTAGAAGGATCAGAGAAGAAGCATGCGAAGAAGATCGGCCAATCATGACCATTCAGTAAGCAAATACAGTAAGAATGCTGTACAGGAATCTCTGTCTCTCGATTAGAGGATGAATAGAGCATTAGCATTCAAGAGATCCATAAGAAGATAGTGAAGCTGAACACGAGCCATCTTCACCCAACAACAGCCTCTGTCATCTTGCCGACTCAGGTAATGTCTTATATGGTCGCATCAAATGGCTTGATGACAGTTTGGCGGAAACAATCAAAACGAATTTGAGCAAATAAGCTTCACGCATGAGCCATAATACTGTTGAGCTAGGAGAAGCGTCAAAACTGATACATGATGCCGACAAACCGTGCGCTAAAACAGTAAGGAAACGCTTCAGCATACAGTATAAGTTTCGCTACTGGACCATGGCATTCACTTGCACCCATCACGTCGTTGGACCATTGAGTGATAGCAACCAGTATGGCAGAAAGAGAGAATTTTTAAATTATTGGTAATATTGAACTAGAATTTTAAGTTTTTATTGTCTCCTATTACATGTGGGTACGGTAGTTTTACTGCATCAGCCACACGCTCCCCCTGTATATGGGAGTACTAAAGGATGAGGATGTACTGTCCTAGTTTTACAAACATCATATACCTGACAGTCACTTAGTTGTTGAAAACACAATCACTTCCTATAAACTACTTTTTGTTCATCTTCTATCATCTTTGCCGACAATCATCTCTTCACTCTCTAGACTTTCACAGCTTGAGCTTGATCTTAGTAGTTTTTGCATGCAGTTTTTTCTTTTCTCCCTATTCATATATGATTTTTGCTCAAAGGCGGTCAGTGTGTGTGAAGTGATTCGTGGGTATCCTTTCGATGGCAATC